GACACATAAACTCTGTCATTGAGCCAGACCATATTTGAGGTGAGGTGAGGTGAAATTGGGTTGAACGTCGCGTCCAAGATTATTGCACTTATATAGCTACGTGCATGCACGTGTGTGTGTATGGCTGCTAGTACTAGTCCGGACTAATTCCGATTTTATGGCGCTAGCTCACTGAGATACCATGCCGCAGTTTAATATGAATACCCCACTCGGACACAGTATACTGACCCCGAGTTGACAAGTCTTGTTTTAGCCCCCATAATACCGAGCGTCAGACAGGGTAACAATAAGTATCATCTTTTTAACGTCTTCTGGTATACGCGGCCGGGGATCGAACCAACGACCTTCCAGTCTTCGGGCGGATGCTCTACCACTAGACCACGGAGACCATATTCCAACAAAAAGTGTGTGCACACGTTATTGGGAAGCAAGATAGGTGACCATGATATGACCCAGTTGACAATATTATTACACAAGAAGGGACCCGTGAAGATCAGGGGTAGAATAGGTCTTAGGCAACCCATGCTTGCCGTAAAAGGCGACTCTGCTTGTCTTAAGAGGAGACTAACGGGATCGGGTGGTCAGGATCGCTAAACTTGCTTGATGCATGACACCGTATCCCAATTTCATGGATCCTCATGGTGTCAATTAACTGCTTGTCTGGTCCAGTCTCGATTATTTATAGACCGCCGTCATATACCTGGACTTTTGCTGAGTGCGGCGTTAAATATCAAGCGAACAAACAAACAAACACCAGAAGGAACATCTTCCACACTGGAACACCGACAAGAGGTTGGGTATAGGTGGGTATGAACGATTCTACAACAAGGTGTCAATGTCAAAAACGTTCTCCATTACGACAATAACATGTTATATTACGACATGGTGACAATAAAACAAACACTATCTTTTTTGTAAATACAACTCTGAAATAAGATCGACGAGAGACCTAATACACTGATATATGAGCCCCTCCTGGAGTTGTAGTGCATACAATACAATAAATATATATTCACATAGTCCATGTCCATGAAATGATCAGTATATGTAGTGTAGGTCCTTAAACATGAACTATATGCATATATTTTAGTAGCGTTGTAGTGTTATACTAATATACGACGCCTACAACAGGATCAGAACCGGTGACGCTAGCTCAGTAATGCCAATTGGTGTAATATCTCCCAGAACTTTCTGGCGTTCATCAGCGCATAACTGACTTTATCTTGTATAAACATTATCCGTATCTGTTGATAATCACATGCTCAGTGGTAGCATGTTGAAGGATGGTCATCAAGAAGGAAGAGCTATCTCTTCCTCTGGCGCATCCCGGATGACCGCCCACTTCTGTACGTGACCTTGTCCAAGAATCAGGTACACAACTGTTCCCAATCCTAGCAGACCAGCAGTCAAGAAAAATACTATCTGCCATTGTTCTCTAGTTTTCTAAAAGATAGAAAATAGAGATTTATGCTTTATCTTTCAAGAAGTATATGTGTATGATACATGCCAAACGACCATTTGATTTTACCAAACACGGAATCACACATGTTGAACATGGGGCTCTAAACCTAATTCATAATATACTTTAGCCTGTTGCGAATATGGAAGAGTTTACTCCGTTTTTTACCAAACCCCCAACGTTCACTTGGCTATCATGATTGGGATTCGGTCACCTTATGTTTGTGTGTTTGTTTGTCTTTTTACGCCGCTTTCAGCAATAGTCCAGCTGTATGACGACGGTCTGTAAATATTCGAATCTGGACCAAACAATACAGTCACTGACACCATGAGTATCGATCCACGCAATTCGAGACACTGTGACATGCATCAACCAAGTTAGCGAGCCTGACCATCCGATCCCGTTAGTGGTATCTTACGATAAGCATAGTCGCCTCTTACGATCAGCATGGGTTGCTGAAGACCTATTCTACCCTGAATATTCACGGGGATGTTTTTCACCTTATGTTGTAACACTGTTATCTTGACACACATGTACATCTCCGTCAACTAATCGACACTTAGGGAAAGGATATTTCATTCATTGATGTAAATTCGTTATTTTTATAAGCAATATTTCCCATCAGAGCCACTATTGTAAGTTAATTTGTCTGACAATAACTAGTATTAACTATGAACTGTCAGTTTGTGTGGTCATTTTTGTGACTGGTATCTGACTTTAGTATATTTAAAGGATATATAATGCTACTTACATCTTTTGTTACCTCAGCCACGACATAGGGAGCCAGTATGCCGGGCATCATACTAATGGCGTTGGAGACGCTCATTATCTTGGTAGCAAACACAGGCGCTATGTCGTAGAAGTTGACGAAGAGACCACAGTAGGCCAGACCGCCGAGGCCAATGATTAACGTCAGTAGGGCCACAACGATGTGGCTCTGGGTGCAGTCCAGATAGCTCAGTACTATCAGTAGAAGTCCGGGAATAAAATGGCCTGTATGTATGCAAGTGACGTTTCTTACCATCAACATTTATAGTTTTATTTCTAATAACAAGGGTTTCATATTGTCGGATGCTCTACATCAACATGTAAACTGCTGCAGTCATAGATGAGTTAATGGAACCATTTTCGGATTAATATTCCCAGGCGTTTGACCAATGTCCATTATAATTATTATTTCCATTTTTGACTTGTGCGTGATCAATCTTCAGGCTTGAAACTTCAGATACACACGAAAGCATGTACTTCACGATTCAACATATGGTTCAGACTGAGCAGTGTATGAGTTGGTGGACAAACCGCATATCACCGTATACATATATTTAGTTTACAAAGAATGCCTACCGTTATTTGGTGGTAGGATATATAGGCAAGAAATAGGCATCTCCATGGACACCAATGGCGCCCCACGTTTCTTTATGCATATGTATCAAAGTTTCTCTTCGGATTGGCTAAGTCAAAACAAGGTCATTTGGCCAAGACGTTTTACTAAAGCTTCAAGTATATCGGTGAACTGACATCGTTCAGTTAACATCAGATGGCCAATTACCTTCCACTAACTTACCCACCCGAACTGGATATAGAGGGGCCAGTGAGACCGCTTCGTGTTTGATATTTAGGTCTAGTGACAAAACACTCACCACACGACTGTACAATAAGAGGGGTGACTTTCAATAGTCAAGTTTCCCTTTATGTCGAGCAATATTTTTGCCGCTGCAGCCCTTTGTGTCTACATTTGACAATTTTTAGGTACAATCGAACATGCTCTTCCTACCAGGATCTCAAAGAATGTGATACAATTCTTGCTTAGAAGTTGTTTGATCAAGGATACAACATTCAAGGACTCGGTAAAGCTTTAAAAAAGTTTTATGGTAGTGAGTGAGTGAGAGAGTATGGTTTAGCGCCGCTTTTAGCAATATTCCAGCAACATCACGGCGGGGGACACCGGAAATGGGCTTCACACATTGTACCCATGTCGAGAATCGAACCCGGGTCTTCAGCGTGACGAGCGAATGCTTTAACCACTAGGCTACCCGACCGCCCGTTTTATGGTAGACATATGGAGGACATTTCCAAATTTGACGCATCAGTAACAAAGATTAAATCCGATGCAATTCCCTGTTTTTATTTGTGCCATATGTTCCCGTGTTGTTTCAGATAAACAATTAATTTGACTTTGCAGTTGTTTGTCGGGTGCCACCGGTGGGGCAGGATACTCTCACCTTTTCGGGAAGACCTAGTATCATCACTATGTGAAAGTGATTCATAAACACACGCCCGTGACACAGTCAGAATCGTACAATGGATTTCTTATGAATATGGGAAGGGTTTAGTCGCGTTTATCACCTCAGGGTGTGACTCGTGTGGGTCTGTCGCATTATGGAGTTTGAATATTACTACCGACATCACCCATCACCATAATTATTATACTTACCGACTATTGTCATGAGTTTCCTGGTATAGTTTACACTCAGTAGCTGTTTCTCGATGAGAGTATCGGCACACAGTGATCCAAGCAGGATCGCCAGAAGCATGGCCAGGTACGGGATGAGAGAATACACGCCATTCTGATTGCACATTGAAAACAAATAAAATATGTAACGTCCACGCCAGAGAATAACAGTCAAAAGGAAACAAAGCGGGGGAATTATCTACATGGATAATTTAAAACACGTTTATTGAATATTTACTTTCAATTAACATGTACAAGTACCTGCTTAAGCGAGTAGCGCCTACGTTCGAAAACAATTGTAAGTCCTTAAGTGTGTATGTGTATTTGTGTCTGCGTGTGTGTGGTGTCTGTGTGTGTGTGTGGTGTCTGTGTGTGTTAGTTTGGTGTCTGTGTGTGTATGTGTGATGTGTGTGTGTCTGGTGTCTGTGTGGTGTGTGTGTGTGTGTGTGTGTGTGTGTGTGTTGTCTCTGTGTGTGTGGTGTGTTAGTTAGTGTTAGTGTGGTGTCTCTGTTGTGGTGTGTGTTAGTGTGTGTGTTAGTGTGTGTGTTAGTGTGTGTGTGTGTGTGTGTGTGTGTGTGTGTGTGTGTGTAAATGTGTGTTGACAGGCTTGCATGTTTCCTACCCGTCTAACTGTACGTTTCATGAGAATTAATTTCAAGTATATCAAGAACAGCTCTAATCGTAATTATAATTTACAAAGGAATCAACTTTCTTCATCATAGCAAGTGGTGGCATGGGTCACATAGTCGTATACGACCCAGTCGTCTGAAGAATTTGCTGTGCAGTGTGCGCCCCTTAGTCTTACAAGAAACCAATGATCGTGGGTTTGATTCCCAGATTCTCCTATTTATGTCCCTAGGTTGTCGTGGATTTCATCAAAGTGGTAAAAGCCTTATACCTGCATCACTTCGGGCTTTCCTCGCATATCAAGCAGTCACGGCGTAATATAACTGAAATACTGCTCAAAACGGCTTGAAACCCACCTCGCCCACTCACCCACATACCGCAGCTGAGCTGAGTTAAAACGCAGGCAACTTGACCTACACAAAGACTATGGCGCACACCCATATTTATCTCTTTGAGAATTGTTTAGAAGTTGAGGTGAAATTGGGTTTAACGTGGCGTCTAAGATTATTGTACTTATAAAGCGACGTGCATGCACGTGTGTGGCTGCGTGTACTTTTCCGGACTGATGCCGATTTATAGTGCTAGCCCACGGAGATGCCATTCCGCAGTTTAACATGAATACTCAGACACAGTATACTGACTCCGAGCCGACCAATCCTTGTGTAGCCCCTTAACGACGAGCGAATGACAACAAGTATTTTGGTATGACGCTGCCGGGGATCGAACCCCGGACCTTCCTCCCCGGGCCGACGCTCTACCACTGGACCACGGTGGGGGGCATGTTCAGGAGAAGGGTGTCGTCTCAAAATTAAGGAATTGTTTTTTTTATCCTTCATTGCACTTTGGAACTCCTCGCTAAACGACTGATTATATCCTATATTTCTTATCATGTCAATGACAATGTTGAAGGTGTTAAGGTATCAACTCACCGATTGTATGTCGAAGCGCAGTACTTCCATCATATATGTGGGGAGGTTGGACATCATGAGAAAGAGCCCCCAGTTATAGGTCACATGAGCACATACTATACCAAGGAATGGCAAGGACGTGAAAATAGTCCTCCACGGTGTAGGTACCTGCAACTGTAAACAACATTTCTGCCAATCTCATTAAAATCAGATCTTAGTTTTCGCAACCGCCAAACAAAGATCTGAGGACATCCCATTACGGGTCACGTCAGAACGACCTTTCGCGAATTTTGACCGACCAATGAAATGACTGACAAGAAATCGACATTAGCCAATCAGAAGGCAGCTTTCTCGAGCTTTACGACACCAGTTTCAAACTGGCGACTACACCTCAAAACATATTTTGAAGTATTCTCAATTAAAACAAATTAAAACTGATAAGAAGAACATTCTGGAATGGCTTATAGATGGCCTAGATTGTATGGATATAATCATAAAACCCGTAACTGTCGTTCGGAATACCCCGTGTTAAATATTTCGTGGTTGCATGATTAGAAAACACATTCCGACTGTCACTTTCATGATCTGTTAAGCGACGCTCTGATTGGTAGAATGTAAGGTCGTAATGGGATGTCCTCAGATCTTTGTTCAGCGATAGCGAGAACTTAGATAAAATTTTAATGAGATTGCATTTCTGCACATGGACAATCCCTACCCTCAATATGATTCATCTTGTTCCCAGGTAGTCAGTGGACACACATTATCCCACTCGTGTCATCATTGTCTAAGACAATACCTGAACTTTTTATTGTTTTCGATTTGCTCACAGAGTGAAGTTCCCCAAACCTATTTTAGGTAAATCGAAAACCCTACTTTTCGTTTCTCATCTTGTTTTCACAATTTACCTCCCTTAACAATCAATGATATATTGTATATAGAGGCATACCTCTAAGGCTTATGATTAAAAAATAATTAAATATTAATTGTCAATTGATTGGAGTGATGCAGGACATTTTTTGACAAAGTATCATTTTATCAGTGATGTTTAATTCAAACCTTTGATCGCGAAATAGAGATAGCTCCAGTGTTCAGCACATAATTCCTTCTATCTGCAAACGCCAAAATAGCTGATTTGGTTTCGTCACGTGACCCGTGAAGATCCGGGGTAGAAAAGGTCTTCAGCAACCCATGCTTGCAGTAAAAGGTGACTATGCTTGTCGGAAGAGGCGACTAACGGGACTGGTGGTCAGGCTCGCTGACTTGTTTGATGCATGTAATCGTATCCCAATTTCGTGGATCGATGTTCATGATGTCAATCACTGGATTGTCTGGTCTAGACTTGATTATTTACAAACCGCCGTCATAAAGCTGGAGTATTGCCGAGTGCGGCGTTACAAAACAAACAAATAAACAAACAAAACAAATCTTCACCTACGATATCCCGGGAAACAAATTAAATAACACCTACTTTACAGAGCTGGTGTCCCCCGCCGTGATATTGCTAAAAGCGGCGTAAAACCAAAACTCACTCACTCACCTTACTTTACAGAACGAAGCGTATTGACCTACTGAAACGCCTTTCCTCGACGACTTTCCCAGAGCTGCTTCTATATACCGCCGTTCCTTTGGGTGTATTCTAGGGTGGTGGGCAGGATCATCGTACACACTGTAGATCCAGATAAATGTCCAACATATACCTATAACACCTGTAACATGGCAACATGCATAATGTATCTATGTTAATGAATACACAACATGAACTTACACTACCTGCCTCGGCATTCATGCAGTTGAATGTCCATCAGCATTACTTCACGTGTGTGATATCATGAGCATCGATCTACACAATTGGGATACGATGATATGCATCAGCCAAGTCAGCGTTTCCGTTAGTCGCCTCTTACGACAAGCATAGTCGCCTTTTAAAGCAAGCAAGGGCTGCAGAAAATCGAAATGTGATTAGGCCACATCGAAGCTACACATATAATTGGTGGACATAATTTTGAAATGTGTGTCAGTACCAGTACAACATTAGAAGTAATATATTTCTATATATCTTACCGTAGAAATAGAATACAGTGGGCCAGCCTCCAGCAAAGTTCACCTTACAGAGTAAAGCGGAGAGAGGAAACACCAGAGCCGTGGCAGACATGGTGCCGGAGTATGTGATGCATATAAGACGACTCCGTTCTGTCGGGGGAGCCCATTTACCCCATAGAGCGAAGATCCCATTTATTGTGAACCACTACAACAGATCAGAGTTTGGTTTTGCGCCGCTTGTAGCAATAATACAATAATTATTATTTGCAACAGTTATTCGCAACTTATCAAAGGATTATCCGTGGATTATGCGCAATTCTACTGCAGAACACGATAACAACCTTTTACGCTGTAGTGTACATTGTGCCTGTATTGGGAGTCGAACCTAGGACTTCGGCGTGACGAGCGAAAGTTTTAACAGCTTGGCTACCCAACCGCTTAGTTCAATAAGAAGAGTGCCTGGGATATTCAACTGATATCATGGACATTCATGGTTGATCGGTATATTTAAATAACCCTTAGATATCAATAATTATACCAGTATAATATAAATATTCAACTTCCATTGACAAAATGACACTAACGTTAAAGACACCAATCATTGCTCTGAGTACGAGCACTGCCCAGGGGGACCACCATGCTGTGACCGGCGTCAACAACGTGAGTATTGACATGAAGAACATCCCAGTCGCCACCACTTTCTTTGATCCCCATCGTTGTATAATGAATGAGCAGAAAATCTGGAGAGTCATGTAGCCCCAGAAAAGCCCACCAAGCACGAGGCCCTGTGTCTCCTTGTCCCACACCAGCTCCCCATCCTGTTTGGAGATATAACGGTTAAAGAGATCTGACTGTCATGCCATCAACCACAAGACTTTCCTGAATGAATATATTTAATGCTAACCGTATAACAGAACAACTGTTTAAACTACCGGGCAAAAGAAAGTTTTCACCTACTTCACTTGACCAAACACCAAAAACAAAGGCATATGTGAGATTTATGATGATTAATTTATAAACAGAAATCATTTTCCATGAATTAGAATGAAAATGCATTGTAATGCCGATATTGCATTCTCCGCAATACACAAAGAAAGAGTCAAGGGGTCCAAATTAAAAATTACACAAATCAGAGTTCATTGAAAAAGTGCATGAAGAGTCCATTAATGACAAAGTAGTCAGGTAACACGTCATCAATAGCGAGTGTGACCACCCTGAGCATCCATGCACGCCAACACATGCCTCCTCATTGACGTCGTCAGTCGGCGGAAAACGTCAACGGGAATCCTGTTCCATAAGTTCAATAAGTCTGTTCAAGTTCCTGTCGGTTCGCTGGAGGCGGTACATGTTGTCTCAGATGATGAGATGATCAGACCAATGTCTCAATATCACGTTTTGCACGTTTTCAACAATGCATGCTTTGGAAAGCTGCGTTCGAAAATCTGCGTTGTGGTTGGGGTCATGTTGCATTTGGGCGAATGTTTTCTGCGGGGGTTCAAACCTCTACCAGCTTTTTAGCATTTTATACAACTATTTTTAAAATGAAAACTTTCTTTTGTCCTGTAGTTTAGTTACGTGTTTAGAAATTACGTTGATAATACTAAAAACTTTATAATTGTCATACTATCTCAATACATCCGAATACATTACTAAAATCCACACTGAATACAGATAGCTTGCATTCTGTCTAAGATTACAACCGTTAGAGTGGGTTAAAAGTATCAACATTGTCGTTTTGCAATGTTAGTAGCGTGTGAGCTTAGGTCACTTTCTTTTGGTCAGTGTTACAACAGAATGTCAGCAATGTGGGCGTGTTATCCGGCTGACAAACAAATTACCATAAGCAGGGTGAACTCTGGGATGCACACACACGATAATTGAAACCTGGCACCAAAAACCAGTACCACGTACCACTCCCACCTTCGGGTTGGTCAGGTTGATGCATGTCATCGTATTCGAAATGCGTGGATCGATGTCCATGATGTCAGTCACTGGATTGTCTGGTCCAGACACGATTATTTGCAAACCGCCGTCATATAGCTGGAATATTGCTGAGTGCGGCGTAAAACGACAAACAAACAAACGAACCCTACCCCACCTACGAAATTGATGCAATATATAATTATGATATTATATATAATACTACACATATATACATGTGGGTACATATGTCCAATCACCAATTTAATATAATAATTGTTTTTCCGTAAATGGATACAATGTTATTGACAAATTGGAGCGGCAAAAAGAGAAAAAATATATATCAGAATATGGAAAGGGTTTTGCCGCTTCTATTTACCTCACGTTCTTGTATATTAACAGTTTTACTGTCACAAGGATGATGTGAATGCTCTCCATCAGTAACATTAGAAGTGTCTCCTCTGTCAAAGGTCATATAAGATACATTCACGTTGCCTCCTGTGTCCAGTCCTCTGGTGTCGTTGATGAAGATGCTGACATTGCCGTTCACTGACTGACCATATTTGAGGATGTCCACCGCAGTGTGGTTGACCATGCAGACAATAGCCATGCTGAGGTCGCCCCGCTGAAGGAACGTATTTATCATACCGAAGGAGCCAATGAAGGATATGAAGTATCGGGTGGAGCGATACCAAGGCGGGGAGCCATCATCTGAAATTATAATTTAAATATAATAAATCTGCGACGCCATCGTATTAAAACTTTAAAAGTTGGTTGTCAGTTATTCATGCCTTCATAATTTTAATTCCCATTTCAATTAATGTTCACATGCAGCTGACAGAACAACGTTATGCTTGGACACTGAAGTGAATGATTTCAATTGTGTGGGAAAATATGACAGACTGAAGTGAAATTTACTATGAAACATATTAGTACATTCCTTTGAGGCTTAAAACATGATAATGTAAAATGTATGACATTGAATATATCTCACCTGTAATTATTTGCATGCTAAAGTAATTATATTACCATTTGATCGTTTTATGAGAACTAAGAAAAGATATATATATATATATATATATATATATATATATATATATATATGATGAATATAAGGTGAACAAGGTGCATGGTAAATATCTCACACGAGTGTCTTTTGGTATCAAATATATCAACATGAGTTGTTAAATGTGGGAAAAACCCCAGGCTTCCAGAGGATTTCCCTTTTATCAACGGGTGTTCATATATTTGATATCAAAAGACACGAGGGTGAGATTTTATGTATCATTCAACATCATTCTTCAAACTCTTTTCAGTTTGTAGACAGTAATAAGCAGTGTCTTAAGTGTAAAAGGTACTGCTAACAGCTTCAGTGGCAGAGCCATTCGTGATGTCATTTGAATGTGACGTCATGGTAACCAGTGACGTCACAATGGTCTACAAAGCATTGTGATGCAATTACATTGCAGCGATATCTACACTGTAGACTGTAGTACTTGATATGACCCAAGCGATATCTCCTGTGGGAGCCAGTTTTGGATGATAAATAGAGAATCTCACCCTCGTGTCTTTTGATATCAAATATATCAACACGAGTTGATAAAAGTGGGAAAACTCCGAGGCTTGCCGAGGATTTTTTCCACTTTTATCAACAAGTGTTGATATATTTGATATCAAAAGACACGAGGGTGAGATAGAGGATTCATGACGAGTGTTTTTTAATATGGGTAATGTCAACCGAGTCTTAGTTAATCGGTATTTGCCGAGCCTTTGGCGAGGCAAATACTGATTAACGGGACGAGGTTGATATTTCCCATATTAAAAAACACGAGTGATGAATTCTATTTATCATTTTCACATTTTTGCTTCCCAATTAAGGAATAATTGCATTAAACATAAACATCAGCAACTTGTCGAAATCTTACGTATAGATCGTGCGTAGTGATACATGTTTTCCATAGCCGTGTAAATCAAAATAAACAACCTCCTAACTCCTTTATGGCATATTCCTTCGCTGAGAAAAAAAGTTCCTCGGATTATTTTAAACAAAATACTTGAACAGACTTTTGCAGAATAATTGAAATAATGTCTCCAACATCAAAGGTATCCATGTTGCACTGGCGAAAAAAGTCCCACTTCCGGTTATCTAATTTGCATATCTAATTTGCATACTTATGTCATTGGGGTATGACATACATGTTTTTATGTCATAAGCTTATGTCATGGATAAATGCTTTAGTTAAATGATAAATTTTATTTATCATCCAACATCATTCTTCCAACTCCAGCAGTGTCTTAAGTGTAAAAAGCACTACTAACAGCTTCAGTAGCAGAGCCATTAGTGATGTCATTTGATTGTGACGTCATGGTAACCAATGACGTCACAATGGTCTGCAAAGCATTGTGATGCAATTTCATTGCAGCGATATCTACAGTATAGATATCGCTTGATCTCACCCAAGCGATATCTCCTGTTGGAGCCAGTTTTGGATGATAAATATCCTTGTTCATCATGCAAAAGGGCACTCTCATGAATACCGGGTAACTATATAGCTGATACCAATCACAACAAGCGTGGATGCCAATAATCGACATTCTTATACCTATCAAATGCAAAATGCAAGCACTCATCCTCAGAAACAATCTTCTTATTACTTAGTTTATACGGACCAACACAGCTCTTCCATCAAGGTAAGATTGGTAAGCTGTCCATCTATTCCGTGAGTCATGTATCGTCCTTTGTTTGATCACATGGTTGTATTGTGTTAAAACAAGTGCATATTGAGTTTCTTATAGCATGTTCATCTCACGCCAGATGTTCATATGTCAACAAGACAACACTACGAATCGTTACTCTTTTAATTTGGCATTCTCACAGTAAATCAGGTGCTGGTCCGGATAAACTAAGTAATAAAAAGCTTGTTTCTTAATTATGTTAGTATTCGACTTAAGAGCATTTCAATGTCTCTATTGTTGGAGGATTTTTTTGACAAGATCAATGTCGAGGACGACGATGCCCAAACCCAAAAATTCAGTCAATCACATTTACATATATGTTGAAGTGATTCAGGTTGCATCCCGGCGTGTCAGCTTGACGTGGAAGGAAAGCATGAAGGCGTTAACCACTTCGGTGAAACCGACGAGCACAGGCATTGTGCTGACAAACCTAGAAACATAATCGGGGCCAACCGGGATTCGACCCACGATGATATGGTTCTGGCCTGCCCAAGGGATAACGACTCACCACAGCGAATTACAGCGCCCAAGACGACTGAGCCACCCATATCCCCATGTAGTGATGTAATTAGTCTCTAGCGACTGACCATGGTATCACGATATGTTTGTAAACGGATACAACCTATTTTAAATTTGGGTTAGAAATATGTTTCCTCTATAAGTGACTAAATACTACAACGTTCACTATGTTGTCAGTGGTTAAAATACAAACTGAAATAAGTTTAACAAAAGACAAATATATTTCTTAAGAGAAAGCATTGGAAATTGTCAAGTGGGTAAAGTAACGAAAACATGAAACAGTATTTATATATGATCAAAGTGAAAGAGTTTCTTGCTGTTCTTTGAAGTTTGTTTCCATTACTGAAATTAGTTAACATATTCGATGTTCTACATTAATGTCAATCACTGGATTGTCTGGTCCAGACTCCATTATTTACAGACCGCCGTCATATAGCTGAAATATTGCTGAGTGCGGCGTTAAACAACAAACAAACAAACAAATAAAACATTGATTAAAATATACGTCTAAAATCAGAATAATACGAAATTTAGGGTATTGACACCCTCACACGAAGAATCACGTCAGAATAAGTGTCAGCCAAGCGAAGTGCCATATCAAATCAGCCCAGACTATTTTTTTGTAAAGGGAGGATATCTGAACGACCACTGCTTCGTGTTCATGTGCATTGTGTTGAGAAGATCAGTATTCCTTCGCTTGGATGAAGTCGGCTGGCCTGAAAAGTGAAACAGAAGGCTTTCTGTTTGCTGTTCAGTACCAGTGACTCCCTACGCGTTCTCGGTGCCTTAGGTATGGTACCTCCATATCTGTTGACTGACATTGGCAGTGTACCAGGTTTACTATTAGGAATACATCCCTTCTGACAATCTAGGTAATGCAGGTGGCTTCAGTGTAGGGAATCTTCACATTCTCGGAAAAGTTCTGGGTGGGTTTGATAGGCAGAGCTTGAGGCAATGGCCCTGAACTGATGATGAGCCTGGCTGTGCCCAGATAACCCAAACCCTCTTTGCTGCATTTTTTATTTTAATCTTTACATAGTAAGACCGCATTAATATATTTAAAGCACGTTGTAATGAATGTGATATCCCCATGACAAAAGCCATGAACTCTGAAGCAAATGTGCAGACCTCCGATCAAGACCCCAGTTGTCGTGATTCAGGTAAATTGGTCACACAACACCAACTCATGTAAGGCGATCTTACTCCACAAACTATGACCACCGTGTTATGTGTAAAGGATTTCATCGCTTTATTTACACAGCCAGGTAACACAACACGTTATAGCGCACGCAAGCAGGACCCTTATAACACAGTACACACACCCGAGGTCCTGTATCTCCGTCTGATCACAGCCATGCTTAGGGTTTGTTTGTCACAATATTTATTTAATACTTTTCGTGTAATGGAACGTGTTCTTAAGCAACGTATTTAAACGAACAGTCATAATTTGAAATCATGTGGGTTAATGAGCATCGTGTTCGTCTTATGTGACGTACGTTACACAAAGTTGCGTTCTGGGATCTGCTCCTTAATGTAAATATAAAATGTAAAAACGCCAGAGAATAATCAGCTTGTATTATATGCCGAAACAGATTTGATGGACCTTATATGAATGGGTCATTGTAAAGCGACGATAACACGAGGCGGTCTCAACAAGGGTAAAAGTGTCCTGCTCTACCGGTAGCACCTGTCACAATATGTGTGTGTTTGTTTATTGACATGAGAACCTTAGTGCAAATGCAGGGACATAGTGTCAGGTTGCAGCCGGATAATGCAACGTTGCAACAGCCTTTTAGAGGCACCATAACATTGCGTACTGCCATGGCAGCCTCATTCTCCAGGCCTTTTCCCCATAGAACATGTCTGGGATGTCATAGATCGATGCCTACGACATGACCATAAGCAGCCAGCAACGCTAGCTCAGATGGACCAATGTTTCGTGCATTTGGAACAACATCCCCCAGGCTGTTTTTAATCATCTGGATTCTTTAAAATGCCGCCCCTGCCTCGCTTGTATCAACGGAATTGGTAACCACATTGACATTGTTTATTGCGTTGCTACATACCCCCTCTTTTAGGGCGTTTCTCTCTGTCTCCTTTTACCAGGTATGTGTTTTGTCAATGAGTGTGAGTGTGTTATGATAACACATTGATCAAACAAATGGCCAAATATTATGTCAACTTGCTAGTTTCAATAACATAAGATTTACACCACTTAATACGAACCACAGTAACTTTCATCCGTTTGTAGATTAATCCGCATCCAACATGAATGTGTCACTATTCCACATGTCATAATGATGCATGCAGACATGTCTGAGTATGCGGCCAAAGAAATAGGTATTTTAGGTGGCCGTGTATAAAATCCCAATTGGAATTCTGTGAGCAGGGAACACTATCACTTAGACTCCCCTGAAACGTTTCATTCATTCATTCATTCATTCATTCATTTGGATGATAATTAAAAAAAACAATGTCCGATTGATTCATCAACACTCTCACGTGTATCGGGGGCACGGGTGGCCCAGTCTTCTAAGGCGCCGCAATTCGCTGTACAGAGTTGCGTCCCTTGGGCACGCCAGAAACCTATGATTGTGGGTTCGAATCCCGGTTCGCCCCGATTATGTTTCTAGGTTTGTCAGCACCATACCCGTGCTCGTGGGTTTCACCGAAGTGGTAAACGTCTGAGACCTGCATCACTTCGGGCTTTCCTCCCCACATTAAGCTGACTTGCCGTGATATAACTGGAATACTGTTAAAAGCGGTGTTAAACCCAACTCACTCACTCACGTGTATCGTTAGTGTGAAGGACACAAGGAAAAGAGCTACGTCGTGAGAATTGGGTACCTGCTATCTCTTACTGTATACAGCCTTCTGTAGTGTGTTCGTGGTGTTACAGAAAGGAGTGTATAACAGTTTACCTAACCAAAGGTTATCATGCATAAAGATGGCAGGCATTGGCAAAAACACGTTCTTCCTCACCCACAAGTGTCGGGGACGTACGTGACACAATACTTTGCTTTACTTTGCTTGGATCCTTTGATCCTAGATTTGCCCGGACCCCGAACCCGTCCGTCCTCCTTTGTGTTCGCCGGAGTGATAAATATATGTGTCACTAGGTTGCATTTCAGTTTTAAAAGGATTGGGAAAAGACTGTTGTCTGTTATAACTGAAATACCGCTGCAAGACCAGTTAAACTATTTTACTCACTGCAAGTAGTGAATATTGTACTGTGTAGGCTTGCAATAAACTAACGCTCACGCTATTCGTAATTCATTTCCACACACTTATGCCCATATAGTTTTGCTTGTTTGTTCTAAAGTTTAACGCTGCACTCAGCAATATTCCAGCTATATGACGGCGGACTGTAAAAATAATCGAGTCTGGACCAGACAATCCAGCTATTGACATCATGAGCATCGATCCGCGCATTTGGGATACGATGACATGCAACAACCAAGACAGCGAGCCTGACCACACGATCCCGTTACTCGCCTCTTACAACAAGCATTGTCGCCTTTTACGGCAAGCATGGGTTGCTGAAGATCTATTCTACCACGGATCTTCACGGGCCATGCCCATATAGAGAATCAATTGTATTGCTATTGTATACATATTCTTCATGAATGTTTACTAAATCTGACATTACCAATATGCTGGTGTACATGTGCATATGTACTCCTGATAACGTATGACACTAATGATTACTGTAACACATGGTAAATACATACCTGATTCGTGAACAGCTGTTCCGGGCATGGTTTTTGTCAGACTGAAAGAAATATAGGCCATACAATGAAATCGTTCCAATGTGTGTCGTTGTCAGTAGGTCATCTGTGTCACAGAATATCGGGTATAGGTAGTGTATGCATACTTGTATGTCTATACTATACTATTGACGAACTGAGATAAGAGGAGAACGTTCCATTGTATTTTAGCACCTGGACTCCCATAATCCACACAGATAGCAGGCGTTAGTACACACGACTGGATGCTGTTGTTCTGAGTAATAACTGAAAGACAACATTCTGAAGTAGCTCAGTGATATTTGATGTCGTGGATGTGTGTGCCTTATTATTGATGAACAAGATGTTTCGGAATTTGGTGGATTCATTACAAAAAGAGGTTCGCATTTCTTTCTTTTTGTCAACAACCCTTAACTTGAATTACAACACATATATGTACATGAATATTCTTTACATAACACTCGTTACCTAACTAATTAAAAGATTAAGCGTCATGACTGTCGAAGATACATGCACATCAACTCCCTCAAAGACAGAAGCGAATTATATTCACCTGCACTTCCTCCAGATTGGTGTAAGTTGCCAAGCCTAAGATACCCTGGCTCCTCGTATTAGTCACCTCGATAATATATAACTTTAGTCAATGACAGATATCTATTAGACCACACTCCGGCGCAGTGGTGACTCAGCATAACACCACTGCCACAGGCGGTTGCATATCACGTGACGGACTTTTCTCTTGTTTGTAAACAATCGCGCTTGTTCAGAAATCAGTAGAACGGACTAATGCAAGTATTTAGGGGCGCTTTACATATTGTTTTGCATAATTATATAGATATGCTACTACAACTGCGACAGTGAGTTGCATGACAATATATATTTATATATCAAAGTTACCGTATCTCTAGCTCTCCGTTGGGCTTCGATGACAGCACGTGGAGCCGTACAACCAATGTAAGCAAAGGATTACTACGCAAAAACAAGTAGATTTCCACGTATTAGGATACTTTCGGAATGAACCGTAACCATTCTTGGACATTTGTTTATGAAAATGTGTAGACTTGTCAAACATGAAACGGATGAAAGGCATATGCAATATCTTGAATGGATTGTGAAAGATGTGACGAATCTTCACATGGCGCTGACCTGTGGCAGAGGTTCTATGCTGGCTTGCTGCCGGCCGCATGGAACTCTGGGTAGGAGTGTGCTGTTAGACGTTTAGAATAAAAACAAGTCCAAAGATTAGCTGACCTGTATTATTTACTCAAGCGGTTTCACAAATGTGATTTTTAAGTGTCTAATATTAGTGTATATATAGAGGATTTTCCATGTTGACGTAAATTCTCCCTACATAACAGACAGGGACGGGTCACCACCCCTTGCATTTGAGACTTAAAAAGTAGTCTATTCTTTAATAAATCATAAAAAAATTAGAAACAAAAAATATTTAGGGTCGCGAAAAGATTCTGTATCATACGTGTAGATGTGATTATATACAAAATCAACTTTAACAAAAACTATTCTTGAAAACTTCGAGACAGCTAACAGAAGCGAAAGAATACACGCTGGCCAAGTAACAAAAAATGCGCTTTATGAACGAACGGTCTCGATTAAGTAACAAATTGACAGACAAACAGAGCATTTTCAAGAGAATAACAAACGTTATGAAGCGATATTAACTCTATAAATGACCGTCTGCCATTATTTTGTCTTGTCAAATTGGAACTAAGGTAAAAAGGAAGTCAATTGTTTTTTAACAGGCTAGACACTTACGAAAAAGGGAGACAAATTGAGGGGAGGTCACTCTTGTATGACTATAGTTCCGTCAAAGTGTTATGTTCACAGCTGTGAAATATCAAGTGTTATGTTCACTGCAGTGAAATATCATTCGTTATATTCACTGCAAGGAAAATATCACTTTTCTCAACTTCGGAAAACTCAGTCTACCTCACTTAAGTATATAATAATGTATGTCACTTAACGCCTCACTCAGCCAATTACAGCTATGTGACGGCGATCTGTAACTGATTGAGTCTGGTCAATCCGGTGATTGACATTATAAGTATCGATCCACGCAGTTGGGAACTTGGGATACGATGACATGCAATCACCGACGCCTCTTACAACATTCACAGGATGCTGGTGGACCATCTTACCCGGAACCCTTACGGATACTGTCAACGCGCATGTTGACGGGGAATTAGCTCTTTGGGGAATAAAGGACAAAATCGACATCACTGTCCCGGAACACTTTAAGCACAACATGTAAACAATCAACAATTGCACAATGAGCGGAATACCTTCTCTGACAACACAAACACAGCGATGAGCGGACCTTCCAGCTCAGGCATACATGAGGTGAGCGTCGGAATACCCAGCTTGACTAACACCATGTAATGGTAACACATATATAGTAATGAACAACAATGGACAGACAAAGAGACAATGGCGTTGCTCTTGACATTGGACATACGGGCGTGATGAACCGTCACAGTTCAGTGGATATTCAATTAAGGCAATAAATGCCATACTATAAAAGCAGAAGTTAACGGGAAGTGATATGGTAGTCCAGGCTGACTGACAGTCACAATACAATGAAATGTTGGTAAGGAGTAACAACGGGGATTAGTGTCTTATAAATAATGACAAATGAATTAAGTAATAGAGACATATACATGTCATGGCTACTGGGTAATTAGCCTTTGGAATCAAATGTTCTTCAGACAATGGTAGTCGTAAATCAGTCGCTATGACAATAATATAAGTTACTGTACATGTCATCATATCTAACTGCGTAAAAAACATGTAACTCTATCATTACTCTAGCTATCTGATTGGCCAGTCGCATTCTTGTACACAGACATATTAGTCGGCTGTTCGGCATGTTTGTTTGTTTGTTTGTTGTTTAATGTCGCACTCAGCACTATTCCAGCGATATGACGACGGTCTGTAAATAATCGAGTCTGGACTAGACAATCCAGTGATTGATATCATGAGCATCGTTCTACGCAATTGGGATCGATGACATGCAACAACTAAGCCAGCGAGCCTGACCACCCGATCCCGTTAGTCGCCTTTTACGACAAGCATAGTCACCTTTTACGGCAAGCATAGGTTGCTGAAGACCTATTCTATCCCGGAATCTTCACGGGTCCTACACAAATGGGATACGATGACATGCATCAACCAAGTCAGTGATCCGTACACCCAGCTCGTGTGACATTTAACCGAGACATCTTGACAAACGACATACTTTCTACTAAAGGAAATCACACTTACGTTTGTTGTTGAGTCGGGAAAATACTTATATTGTATTAACACCGTAACTAGTAAGTGAGACGTATTTCACACGTGGATGTTTCACAAATTGACAGTCAGAGATACGTCTAAAGTCCGAGTAAACAAGTGTAACGGTAACCTAGTTCCGTTTGAGCGGGTCAGTGAACTGTTCACGTGTTTTATGTGTGTACCCTGTGACTGCGTTTGAACTGTAATACATGTAGAGAGAACCTTCTGGATGCTTGGTCATAACACTTCTAGATATTAAACACAAGTTGGAACGTGTAGTGTTTTTTTTGCTTGTTGTTTAACGCCACACTCAGAAATATTCTATATAAACTATATGACGATGGTCTGTTAATAATAAAGTCTCGACTAGACAATCCAGTGACTGACACCATGAGCATCGATCTACACAATTAGGATACGAAGACATGCATCAACCACGTCAATGATCCTGACCACCCGATCCCGTTAGTCGCCTCTTACGACAAGCATGCTTTGCTGAAGACCTCTTCTAACCCGGAATCTTCACGGGACTGTTCGGCATGTACACACATTATGACGACATGCCGTTGAAGTGACGTACGTGACACGTCACAGTTGACCCCGTTCCCACTGTTACCAAACTGAAAGTCTGTTGGTCGTCACAAGCTAGATCTTAGTGTCACACATAAATGTTGTGTCGACAATATCTTAGCGGAGTGTGCGCGGATGTGTGATACGGTCTCACGTGTACACTTCTCGACATTCCGTCTGCTTGTCCACAAGCCATTTCAGCTTGTAAAGCCCCAACCACACCGCAGGTGAAACATTTAACCGAGACATCTTGACAAAAGGCCCACATTCTATGAAACAGAACAAAAGCACACTTACGTTTGTTGTTGAGTTGGGAAAATTCACAGTTGAGGCGTATTTCAAACGTGGATGTTTCACAAATTGTCAGTCAGAGATACGTCAGAAGTCACAGTTGACAAGTGTAAAGGTGACCTAGTTCCATTTGAGCGGGTCAGTGAACTGTTCACGTGTTTTATTGTATACCTTATGCCTGCGGTTGAATTGCAATACATACAGGGAAAACCTTCTGGATGCATCGTCATAGCACTTCTACTTCTTGTATTGATCATACTGTAGTTTTAAATGCCAATGAGGCAAATACCTTTTCCATAACAGAACGAAACTGTCGGTAAATTATATTTGTTTTTATCAACAATGATACATAACACATGATTTATGCAAATGTATGCAAATTTTGTGAGTGTAGTGTGTTTCCGTTAAAGGCAGGATGAGCTTACCCTTTTCGCGAACAGCTGGTGTCATGACTGAGTTTTAGTGGTGCATGAATATCATATTCACCGCAATTTTACCTTGAAAGCCCAGGTGAATCTGGTTCGCGGGATAATTGAGACTAGTTTTTCTCTGAGGTTGTTGTTATATATTATAATATGAACACATGATGTCCCAAATGTTTCATTAGAATGATCAATTAATATATATTCTGACAAATATTGCAAATATTAGTCAAGCTGAGGACAATACGGTTTATGTAAGTAAAACCTGTCATTTACGAATTCAGAATTATAGAATTCAAAGTGATCACAAAAATACATCATGTGCTGAATGGGAATTTGGCAAGTGTGGTGGGATGAGTTCGAATGGTGGCTATTATAATTAACAACATGTCGAGAATATACCATATGCTTCCCATAGTCAGTCGGTGGTCAGTTTGACACGCCAACGTATACTGGTAGATATAGTAGATATACTGTAGGTAATGAAGATTGTATGATTTGGTTGGTTTGTTGTTTAACGCCGCACTCAGCAATATTCCAGCTATATGACGGCGGTCTGTAAAATAATGGAGTCTGGGCCAGACAATCCAGTGATTGATATCATGAGCATCATTCCACGCAATTGGGATCGATGACAAGCATCAACCAAGTCAGTGAGCCTGACCACCCGATCCCGTTAGTCGCCTTTTACGACAAGCATAGTCACCTTTTACGGCAAGCATGGGTTGCTGAAGACCTATTCTATCCCGGAATCTTCACGGGTCGAAGATTGTATGAAGATTTTCAGTCAATAATGTTCAGTTAACAATTTTATCAGAAACATATGGTGTATTTTACACTGTGTACTATTTGTGTGAACTTGATTTTCATGAATATAGGTATTTAGTTGTACGTTTTGTTATTTATTAAATGTAATGTTCCTTTAATATTCTACATATTATGTATTATATTGTATACGTATTATGATTAACTGCCATGATAACATATTTATATAACTATTTGGAGCGGCGTAGTTTTGATGGAGATAATTTGTCAGTCTTCGTTTTCGGACGAACAATTTCTTTAATTGTTCAGAACAACCAGTAACGTGAACGATTTTAATTGTTGTAAAATTTGAGGAAAATTAAGTGTGGAAGGTATTTGACTATAGCCTCATAATAGTTCACTCGCACATACAACCTACACTTGTCACACTCATCGTTCAAATCACGCGGTAAAATTGGAATTTTACACTCAAGACTCACACCGAGTCTATTGTTGAAAATGTCGCTGGACCCGGTGCTTATTGTGGAGAGTAACTATTGTCAGCTGTCAGTTTGGCGAACAACATGGCGCCGGAATGTTTTGTAATGATCTATAATGTCAGCCATGCGTCAAGCAGAACGTGTGGAGAATAACATCACGTGGTGAATGAAGTTGTATCTGAGAGTGTCTGTGACTGTGTCTGTGACTGTGTCTGTGACTGTATGTGTTTTGGTGTCCACCCACTTCACCTAATTTTTGAGTAAAAGTAATTTCCGTATTCGACGTAATAAGCGCCCGCGGCGATATTTGCTAATTATATTTGGTAGTGAACAATTTCAATTAGCAGATCAATTAGATCAATGTATGACTCATTTATTCGTGTATAATACGCACTCGTGTGTTATATGCATCCTTAATTGTGAGCAATTAAATCCTGGAAAAATATATCTGTCGTATATAAACATTTCAGGCTGTCGGCATAAACCACGAAATTTACGATCTTTCAACTCTGTTTTTTTTTCACCAAAATATTTTTTTCAATAGGAGCCCCCATTTCTAATTTTGTGAGCGCCCTGGGCGCTTATTACGTCGAATACGGTAGGTGATGTGGGTTTACTATGCTTGACTGGACTTAGGTAATTCTGTCATCGGGTCTGGAAGATCCTTCTCTTGAATTCTTTAGGGGTTACAAAATACTGAACAATTAACTAGTAGATGGTTTTTATTTTACATGTTTGTATATTACTTTCATGCACTGTCAACGTCGCTATAGAAATGCAATAATGTTGGACGCGACGTTAAACCCCTTTTTACCTCGCCTCACCTCATACACTGTTACAAACTAATACAGTGATCATGTCCTTTCAAACATTGTTACACATAAATAGAGCACTATAAAGCATACGCTGACCATAAATCTAGTTTAAGTCTAGATATCCAACACTGCAAGAAGATGAGTAATGGTGTCGGTATAGTCCAAATCAGATAAGTGGCCATTGATGAGTCTGTCCTCAGGGTGTTGGAAATGTCAAGATGTTTATGTCATTATTACTCCAAAGAGCTAAAGAAAGCTTTCAGCAAATGTGGATAGAAAAACTAAAAACTAGCAAATGTACATATACGTATTCTCTCTTCAAACAACAATTTATACTCGAAGAATATCTAATATCTGTTACAATAAAAAAATTCGAGTATCGCTAGCGCAGTTCAGAGCAGGATTTTATGATTTAAAGATCTATAAAGGTATATTTAAAAAGTCTAACAATATCTGTACATCTTGTAACCTTAATGTTGTAGAAAATGAGTTTCATTTTATGCTTGTGTGTAAACTCTATCGTCAATTAAGAAACAAGTATATTCCAAAGAAGTTTATAACTTACCCAAATATTAATTTGTTTTGCATACTCATGTCAACTTCAAATATAATAATTATTTTATTTACAAAATATTGCATTGTACATACATCATGCATTGTTAGTTAGAAGAAACACCCATACCTTGTAAATACGTTGAACTATGGGCCTATTCAGTTTGCAATGAATAAAACAATTTGAGTCTGTCCTCAGATTCCAGCAGCCCTTGGTCGATTGCAATATGGCGACGTTTTTAGGTGGTTGTGTAAGGTGACCACACTGCTGGGAGCGTTTAACAAAATCAAAGATGTTAGTGGCAAGCCCCCTAAGTGTATTCCACCCTTCGATGTTGATATTGGTCCAATGACCGCTGTAAGCAAAATGGTTCCACTGAACTTTATCCCAGTGAACACTCCCTACCCAAGTAGTCGTCACATAGTCAATCCTCTTTGTAGAGAATAGCAAGACCTAGATGTTGGATCTTGATTGAAAAGGCCTGAGAATAGATGGACAAAGCAGCCACGTATCTGGATATCTTCCAAAACTGCACTGGCATCATTGGTAGCTACTTTCTCAAAATCAGTCTGGAATACTTGGGGTCTCAGATTAAAATGATGTGGTTCTGGTTCACCCTTAATTACTTTGAAGCCGGCTGTGTAGGATGCTTTAGTCTTATTCGGTAGGACGCAGCGAACAAGAGCATGCATGATTCCTTGATGTTCAGCATGGAGGGTGTAAATTTGACAAAACCGCTTTGGGAAGGAGTAGATAGAACCATCTGCAAATATGGTCTCAGCTTCACATAAATGTTCCACATCTCCTCGTGTTGTGAAGACGAGAAGTGTGTCGTTGTCTCCTTGAGGACGTTTTCACCAGCAGTTTCAACAGTTATTTTCCCAGTTGGACGGATGCTCGTATCTTGGGTAGCTTGGGTAGATTATTTTTTATAGTGTCAAAAGTGGGAAATGCTGAAGAGCCTGGATTAGGATAATGTCGGATTTCTTTCAAAGTACACACAGTTCGTTATCGTAGATTTTGTTATCTCCTCCCTTGTACTCTCCAACAATCTGGACAAATGGTGTTTCTATGGACGTATAGACTTGCAACATCACGTTGACTCGATCCTGCTTCAAGCATACCAATGGCTCGGAGACGCACAGGCGTGGCATTTCGTAATGTGGAATAATTGCGTAATTTTGGTGTTTTTCTGAGTGGTTGTTGTCAGCACGATGCCAAACAATGCATATGGAATCCCGTAAACGCACATGTTTTATACCCATTCTTTGGTAGTGAAATGCATGTGGCTTGCATAAAAGTCAACTTTTGCATGGAATGCATGCTTTTCTGTAGCAGTTGCGTTTTTTGTGACTTAATTCCATACATGTGCTACAATATTGAAAACCAAACTTTACTTGTTTGAAAAATACACTACAATATTGGTGTCACTGGACCTTTTGTTGTTGAGTATATATACTGTCGTTCCTTTAGGTTCCTTTAGGTGTATTCATTGTATCCCAGTTCCGTAGATTGATGCTCATTATTTCAGTCACTTGATTAGCTGGTCTAGACTATATTATATATTTATATATTATATTATTTATTAAACAAATAAGAACCTATGGCATAGGTTTGGCAAGTACATTGCACGTACATTATACCTGAATGGCAGAAATCCCTACCATAGAAATAGAAGACAGTGGGCCATCCGCCGGCAAAGTTCACCTTACAGGGTAACGCAGAGAGAGGAAACACCAGAGCCACGTTGTCACAGAATGTGATGCTTATGAGACGACTTCTTTCGGCCCCCACAGAGAAAAGCTTCCAGCTAACATGAAACCCTACAACATGAGAATGAGGCATAATTTGTTATAGCTTACATTTCTGCGGAGAAAACAAATAAGTGCGGGAACATCTTTAATTTCAATTTATCAAAATTAATTGATAGACACGCACGCACATAATTTTACACAATATTGATAACTATTTTTTTAATATTCAATTTGAAGCCAAGAATTATGTTAGTGTAATGTGACATTCCTCGTGTACACATTCTGACACTTTCTTTGATAGCAAAAT